CATCAACCAGCATCAAGAGCCTTAGAAACTGAGGATCAACTCACTTGAGCCAAAGTTTCCTCCTCCACCTGCCCAAGACTCCCAAGGGGCAGGAGTGAGTGAGGGAATTAGGCTGGATGACCTGGAAAACCTTATTCACTCCAATTCTTACCATTCCAGGATGTTGGATGGGAGAGGCTCTGCACAGATGTAAGGCACTGGATCTTTCTTAATCCTCAGGTAGTCTTGTTTCAGCCTCTGGGTTGCTGTTGTTGGTGCTCTCTTATTGCTGTTGTTGCTCATCTAAGTAAAAAAGCATCTATAAATACAACATGAACAGGCACAGAGTTCCAAAGCTCTATGGAACACCTGGAAATAACATCCCTAGGGTGGATTTAGGACAGAAATTAAATTACTAGAAGTTTTAAGTGGCAAGAACCATATGAAATGTTGAGACAGACCCAAGAGAGTCTGTACACTGCTAGAATTCATCTCCCAGAGGTGTTTGGGCACTGAAAAGTGTTAGGTTGGATATCAGGACAAGGTTCTTCCCCCAGAGGTGTTTGGGCACTGAACAGCTCCCAGGGCAGTGGTCACAGCCCCAAACCTCACAGAGCTCCAGGAGTGTTTGGACAACACTCCCAGGCACAGACTGGATTGTTGGGATGTCTGTGCAGGGACAGGAGTTGGATTCTCATCCCTGTGGATCACTTCAAACTCAGGATATTCTACTTCATTCTAAAGGTCTGAATAATTAATTTCCCTCTTTGTCTTTAATATCCATTATAAATTTACTCACATATGAATTCAATCCATTTAGTGTTTCTACACATTGAGTTATCTGCAATCAATGCCAACCAGGACACCACAGTAACTTCACTGCTGGCTTGGAGGTGGATTTACACTTGAATTTACAGATGAATTTATACTTGAATTTACAGAAGAAACTTCTGAGCCACTTTTATACTCTCCTAGAGCAATAAAACCTCATCCACAAGGAGCCAAGTCAATGTGAGGGGAGAACATTCTAAGGCCAAGAAAGAATTAGCACCTACAGACACACAGCAATTAACAACTGTCACTTCACACTCACTTTCCCCTGAGGTATTTAGGGAGTTACTTGGCTTTGTATCTATCTATACATTGGAAATTCGGGCAGGAACAAATGAAAAGGTTTTAAAGCTCTTCCTGTTCCTTTACTCAGCCAAAACAATTTATGAAAGGACTAAAATTTAAGTCAGGAGTATCAGCTGTGTGTGCTCAAATGTTCAACCTCTGCTCAGGGGGAAGGAAGACTTTAGCCTGTTTTTGTCAGAGTTGCTGGAAATCATTTCCTGAAACAGACAGTCACTCCTTGAAGTCATAAAATGGAACATTTTCCTCCACAGAATAAACTTTGACCTTAAAATACAAACGATATCCTCTCAGTTTAGCACAAAGATTTGCCTTTTCCAGTGACTTCCACTATGGACTGCAAAAACACACTGGAGTTTCCAGGCACTGGGATTTAATTGCTCCTCAAAGCCTTAATGAAACAAATGGTTCTATCTTAGAGGTGGAGGATTAAGGGCTGTGACCACAAACTTCATTTCCCACCTGGGTAATACATTGTGCCAGGGAAAGGAAGGAACAGGGGGAGACCAGGGAGGGGGAAGGGG